CTATGAGATTATGGGTGGTGTGGATAAATTCAATAGCGAAAAGTTTCTCTCATAATATTTAAACTCAGGATCATCGAGAGAAACTGGGGGGCAGCAGATTCAGCACAGACAAAGGAAATTCATTCCTCAATTTAAAGACTTTGTTGATTTATGGGTTATATGGCTTCTGGCAAATTTATGGAAGAGGCTATTTGTCCTGATGACCTCATAGAACCTCCAGTTTCAGGGACAGTCTATGCCACCCAAAACAATTAGCTGGGGTGAACAAGAGCAGTGGAGAGGCTGTTGGCTTCAAGGCAAGTTTGTGGGCTTCCCAGAGGCATCTGGCTGGCCCCTGTGGAACAAAGGAACGCTGGTCTACACAGATCTTTCTGTTCACCCATCAGAACAGGAAGCAGAATTTCATTTTCTTGGAGTTCATTTCCCTGTCAGTAAAGCCAGTGAGAACCTGCTATTGTGATTCCAGGTTCAGAAATACATGCTGTGGCTCTCTCTGTTGGGTCCCAGCCCCTGTAACACTTTGCTGGGGCTGTTTCTGCAGTTGTCTGGTCAGTCAGAGTGATCCAAGGAAAGTCAAGGAGCCCATGCATGATGGGGATGGAGTTTGGCCTCTATGCTTAATCCTTCATCTTGGAATTTTGAACAATGAAAAAAGTAGGAGTCCTTGCTCTCCAGGAAATGGGTTCCTCGGCCCAATTCATTTCATACTCCAAGATTTAGAAAACTCCCAAAATGAAAAGGGCTGGAAACACCTTGAATAAAACTACCCTATAAGGAGAAGCAGGTACAAATAAGAGCCCTGCTCAATTGGGCAAATGTCCATTCAGCCCAGCATCCTGCCTCTGTCAGTGGGCAGCCCATAACTGCTAGGAAGCAGGACATGAAGGCAACTGTTCTCCCTGCTGTTCCCCTCCCTGCTTGATGTTGCAGAGGTAAATTGCCTCCAGACAAGGTGGTGCCATTTAGTTGTCATCCATAGCCATTGATAAGTGTATCCCATGTGAATTTGTAGGTGCTTATTTGCATGTGAAAAGGGCTGTTAAGGATTGCAAGGAACATCCACTGACATCAGGGTCCCTTCCAACTCTACAATTCTATGATCAGATGGACTTCAAGAGACAGAATCCATGAAGATGGTCTGCATTTGTGCAACTGTGCTGTGCCTGTTTCTGTGTGGGTGGTTCTAATCCTACTAATGGGGTTTTTTTTAAGTCCAAGAGGACTTGTAGGATGGAAATACATTGTGCAGCTTTCCCTTTCCCTGCTGCAGCCAACCTGAAGCTCCTGACCCTCATCTGGTCCCAGAGGCCTTTTGATCTGGGGCTTCTCATTTGGGAGAGAGTCCCCCCCCCAACACACATTAAAAGCTTCGTAGGCTAGAGCCTGTGTGTGGCCCTTTAACTGCCTGCCTCAGGCAGGACATATGATATCATGGTGGCTGCTGAATTCAAAATATCTGTATGACAAAACCAACCTTCTTTGAATTAGGTATGCTTCTGCTTTATTCAGTCCTATGGAAAAGTATACTGTCACAAATTTTGTTTAACAGAGATGGCCATCAACGTGGGGGTTGTTCTGTTTGAATCCATAAGATTTCGCTTCGGTAACAGAAATCAAGATTTAATTTAGTAAAAGCTCTTGACTCTTATGGAAATCTGTGTTGTTGTCTTTTCTGGAAAACTGATTCTCTATATAAAATCTGGCATTGATGCCTTAGGCCTACAAACTCCTGGAAACCATTAAAAAATAAAAAAATCACCAATGTAAAAATATCACTTGGAACTGAACTTAATTGTGTGTTCAGAGTTCTGTTGGTTGTCCAGTTTGTTGATGTGCAAAGCTATTGTGGAGGAAAAGTGATTCTTTCCATACTCTGTGATGAATGGTCTTTGTGTATTGCTCAATGCTTGCTGGAATTGGGGTGGGGGGAGAACACTTGAATGTCTCTACTGCATTATGTACAGTTTCTAAACTAGGTGTGCATTCATGTTGAAAATAAGACTTCTGTAAAACTGCGCTTGTTGTACTCAATTTTTGTTTCTCTGTTAATGATGCAAAATCAGATGATTTGATTCCACACTGGATATTTTATGTTGAATAAATGAATAGTTTCTACAATAGTGAGCTTTATGGGATCTTTTGTGGCTACTCTGTGCCCAAAATGTGGGCCACCTCTCCTCCCTAGGTTTTCAGGACACACCATTCTCAAAAAGCCTATTTATGTCACCCAGCATGGATGGACTTGGACCACAAACCACCCAAGAACTGGTGGTGTAGCCCGTCCTCTCATTTACTAGCTGTTCGTCTTTTTTCCATCCCTCTCAACAATGACCAGACATTTCCTTCTCCTGCCCCATTAAGTGTGGGGTGTCCACAGGCCATGTGCTTTGTGGTTAACTCCCCAGGTTAATTCTCAGCATCTCTAGTTAAAATGACCTCAGGGAGCAGAGTTGGCCAAGAGCTGAGGTCTAGGGGAAGCCCTGTCAGGTTCCATTTTTAACTCCAAGGTTAAGCAGATAGCCCTGGCCTGATGTAGAGAGTAGCCTCATTAGATGATGGAACAACCTGGCAGCTAAGTTTAGGCACAACAAGGTGCTGCTTCAGGAGGACCACATTTAGGGGCTTATCCAGACATGGGCTTGTCCTGTGTCTAGATACAGTGTTTCCCAACCACTGTTCCGCGGCACACTAGTGTGCCGCGAGATGTTGCCTGGTGTGCCGTGGGGAAAATTCGAAAGATTTTTTTTTTTTTGTAAAAGACAAATTAGGTCCTAATCTATCCCTCGAGCGCCTCTTGTCCGTTATTGTGACGCATGAAGCGTGTTCCCGCCCACTCCCCGCCCTCCCTTGCTTCTCTCTCTCTCTCTGTGGCGTTCTCCGCCGCTTCCTGCTGGGCATGCGCAGCTCGCCTCGCGCTTCCATTCCGGCCCCTCCTTCCCCCGACTACCCCGCCACTCCGTTCCTTTCTCTTTCTCGCGTGTCAGAGAGCGGCGGCGCGAGCGCGGCGGTTCCCTCAGGGCTGACGGAGGGCTCGAGGAGGAGGAGGCAGGACGCGGAGGCGGAGAAAGCGGCGGCGGCCACCCCCCACCTCCGGCTCGAGGCCCGCGTAGAAAGCTGAGGGGGAGAGATAGATAGAGGTGGGCGGCGGCGGCGACCACGACCAACCGCCACAGTAGTTGTAGCGGTGGCGACGGCGAGCAGGGACTCCCGCTCTCTCTCCGTCGTGTCTCTCTCTCTCTCTCTCTCTCTCTCCCGGGCCCGTCCGTTGAGTCTCCCGCGCGCCTCGGCTATAAGATGAGCATCGAGATCCCGCCGGGTCTGACTGAGCTGCTGCAGGGCTACACGGTGGAGGTGCTGCGGCACCGGCCGCCGGACCTGCTGGCCTTCGCCGCCGAGTACTTCGCCAAGCCGCGCTCTCCTTCCTGCCTCGCTTTGCTGCCTCCTCCCCCCCACCCCCAAAGCTTGGAGGTTCCCCGGCGCCGACCCGCAGGTTTGACCCCCTTGTCACACCTGTTCGCGCTCCTTGCACGGAATGGGGCGGATGGGGAGGAACGGGGCTCGCCGCTGCCTCCACTCGCCCTCCCCCCCTCCGCCGGCGGTCCCACGATTCTTGGCTTTTTGGCGGTTGGCACAGAAGGAAGGCAAGGGGGAGGGGAAAAAATTGAATCTTACACTTTCGTGCGTCCCTCCCGGCGTGACGCTGCGCGCTGACGTCACGGGGCTGTAATGGTGGTGTGCCTCGAGATTTTTTTCATGAAACAAGTGTGCCTTTGCCCAAAAAAGGTTGGGAAACACTGGTCTAGAAAGCAGGGATCCAAGCAGTTTTCTGCATGTCCCGCACTTTCTAGGCACAGGTCCTCATTGTTTTGCCCTTGCCTTGCTGCTTCCCTCCAGAAAACCTGCTCTTTAGCGATAAATTGGACCAAGCATCAATCCAGAGAAAGCCTAATTGATGTTTGCTCCAATTCAGCGGTAAATATCAGGTTTCCTTGGGGGAAAGTGCTGGGGCAAGGGTAAGTCTGGATGAGCCCTGAGTTATTCTGCAACTAAGGAAGGCAAAGCAGGTTGTCTCAGGAGTGCATTGAAGTTTTATAGTCTGGGCTAGGTGACCACAGCGACTAAGGCCCTGCTCTCTGGTTACTGTGTCTTCCAGTTATCAGGGTGGTGCCTTTTCCTGCAACCATTGGCTTTGTCTTGGCCACAGGGCTTCAAGCTGCCAGAGTATCTTTGGAGAAAGCTCCTCAGGTCTTTCCTGAGCCTCTGAGGAGCCTAAAATCCAGTCATTAGAGTCCAGTGGCAGAAGTGTCTCCTCAGGGTTCAAGGGATGAGATGTGGGGCTCTGGTGCCAGCAGACCCAAATGGTAACAACTGCACGTTTATTCAAAATCTAGTTGTAACTATTTAGTTCAATTAATTTGACAAAATCCAGTAACATGAACCAGTGACACCAGCTTTTCAAAGTCTGGTAGTTATTTACACTGTCAGTGCCCAGCTACTGCCCCCTTGCCTCTTAATGCCTCTCTGGTAATCCCACTGACCCCCAGGGGGTGGTACTGCCCAGTTTGGGAACCACTGCCATACAACATCAAAATGGCCTTGTTTTGTAACCCTCTTAGAACCCTCTTATGGTGGGTTAAATGCTCAGACAAGGCAATGTCCTGTACCCTCTCAAACCACCCATCCCTAGAGAGACCTGCTGTGCATTTCCAATGTTTGGCAATGTTGAGTCTGGCTATTGCAAAGAACAGTCTTAGCAGCTCCTTGTGAACAAGGGTGGGATTTAAGTCACTGTCAATGGCCAGGAGAGCTATTACCAGGTCTGGGGTTAGAGACTGGTTTCTTATTGCAGAAAGGTCCACGAATAAGCTGTTAATATTTCACACTGCCACCACATATGAAGGAAGGTGCACTTGTGGCCATAGGCTCTCCAGCATAGCCGTAAAGTATCTTTCAGGATGTGTAACAGTCTAACAAGCATCCAATACCAGCATAGTAAAAGCTTGAGGGATGCTGCCTTTATTTTGGCAGATATTGTCTTAATAGGTAGATAGGATCATACCTTCAGCTTGCTTCCTTGAATACTCTTTAAGAGTATTATTTCTTTATTTCATATAATTTATACACCAATAGATTGTAGGGAGGGGGGACTCCAAGAAGTTTACAAGAAGAACAAAGCAATACAAGAAAAACAAAGCAAAGCAATCTATGAAAACAGTTAAAAACTAGGCTCCTTAATCCTGCAAAGGCAGATCCATCCTGCAAGTAAAGGTCAGTGAAGTGGCCTGAACTGTTGCCACATGCTCAGAGGTTGGCATGGGGTGGCTTGGCCAACCTCTTGTCTTCTAGAATCTTCCCAAACAAATGGGCTACCTCCATGGCACAACCCCAGTGGATGGTGAGCCCAAAACCGCCATGGCCATAGTTGTGGATCACCTGAGAGAGAAGGAAAAGGCAAGAAGAGAGCTACTTCACCAAGGAAAACAGCAGGAAGGAAAACATTACTTCCTACGGCAACTGAATGTCAGGATCGATTAATGCACCATCCACACATCAAACACATTGCAAGAGAATTGCATTTTGTTTCACTAAATTTCAGTAGGGCTAGCTTACTCGTACACAGGACTGCAGCCTTAGAGTAACACCCCCCCCACAAGGATATATGAGAGTCCTAGCCGCAGCATGTGTGAGATACCATGCAAGGGCTGATCCTGTTCCACAAATCAATTCACACCATGCATACGGAAAGTTACCCACCTCTGATTGTAACATCCCATGGCGAACAGCCTGGTGTTCTAATCGGACTCTTGGCCGTACGGGACGATGACCACTCCATTCGTGGATGATTTTGGCTTTCTGGAAGCAGCAACATGCATGGTTATTCAGAGCAGGCAATTGTAAGAAAACATGGGAAGTAGGGACAGCAATCCACTTTGCCAGTGCTTATACTGAATCTTCCTGTGGAAGAGCCATAACACAGTGGTAGAAGACTGGGGTGTTGCATCTCCAGCTCAAGGATAGGAAGCTGCAGCAGATGTGGGCCCTCCCCATCAGCACCAGCCAGCCTGCCTGCCATCAAGGGCAGTGATGGCCAAACTTGGCCCTCCAGCTGTTTTGGGACTACAATTCCCATCATCCCTGGCCACTGGTCATGTTAGCTAGGGATGATGGGAGTTGTAGTCCAAAAACAGCTGGAGGGCCAGGTTCGGCCATCACTGGTCAAGGGTGATGGGAGTTGTAGTTCAGCAACATCTGGAGGTCCCCTGCAGGTCCCCCATTCCTGGGCCACAGGGATGGGCACAGCCCTGTCTGAGATCTAGGGATGCCACCTTGGGTTGGGGAAAGTACAGGACGGGGCAGACAAAATAAAGGACAGATGGGGGGGGGAGCTAAAAATTACTTTACCTGGTGCAGAAATGACTTCAAAGCACTACAATTATCAAATGGAAGCTAACAGTAACTGCAAACACTCCAACAGCAATATTGAAAGGAACTCTTCCCCACCGGCTGAATTTCTGCCTGCCAGAATCATGATGCATATAGAAACCCAGCCAAAAAAGAAAAAAAGCGCGGGGGGGGGGAGAGAGATAGCAACAAATTCTGCTTCTCTTCCTCATAGAGCTTTGCTTCCAGCATCCTAACAGGGTTCACATAACCCCTCAACCCCCTGAGAGCTCCAGTATGATGCTTTAATGCCTAGGGATGGACAAATAATAATAATAATTATTATTTATTAAATTTATATACCACCCTTCATCCAGGCAATTTCAGTGACAGAACCCTAAATGTGAAAAGCCCTCCTCTGCAGACTCCATGCGATCTATTCTAGAGGTGGAAATAAGCCAAGAAACACACAGTGAGACTGAGCTATGAGAATGTTGACCTGTGCTTTAATTTGCTTTTTGGCTTATTGTTGGTTTTAATTTTTTTAATAACAGTAATAACTGTTTTTACTAACAATTTCATTGTTTTATTCTTTGTGGTTGCTGTATACAAATGTTATGAAACAGGTCTGCCACCGGATAGGCATGTCCTGCCACTGGCCTCCATTTATACATTACTTGTCTGTGCAAACACGGTACAAACTCTTTAAGCCGCCAGGAACTCTTTTAACCCAGAGCAAGAGACTTTGGGTATAATATACAGTTTGCAGAATGGGAAAAACCAGTGCTTTCTTCTTTAAAACAATGTTTAGGGGTAGGTACTCTCATTTTGACTCAAGAAATCACCATTTTATAGTTCAAATCAGGAAAAATAAATACAGTAAATGGACAAAAGTACAAAAATTCACAAAATGTTTAGGGGTATGCATACTCTTGCATCCCCCCACAAAAAAGCACTGGGAAAAACTATGGAGAGAGGATTTGAAATTTATGTGTTATACTTTAATAGAAAATGATATGAAAATGATGTATTGCTGATATTTAACCCCAAGTAAATTAGCAAAAATGTTTAGGACAAGTTCAAATATTTGTTGGAAATGTAAGGAAAAGGAAGGCACCTTTTATCATATGTGGTGGAATTGCAAAGGAATTCTGGGAAATGATATAAAATGAATTTTAAAAAATGTTTAAAATAACTTTTGTTAAAAAAACAGAAACCTTTTTGTTAGGAATTGTAGGTGCAGAGATACTGAAGAAACTGAAATGACTTTATGTATGCTACAACAGCAGCAAAGATGCTTCTTACCCAGAGTTTGAAAGACAACAAGATATCTACTAGGGCGGACTGGCAGATGAAATTATTGGACTACGCAGAGAGGGCAAGATTGTTGAGCAGCTGCACTCCCCTTTGTTGAGGGTCTGGTGAAGGCAAGGCCTCAGGAGAAAGGGATGAAGAAAGAAGGGGGGTGTTGCAAAGGCTCACTCAGCCTGAGATGAGCCACGACACGGCTCCCAAGGAGTTGCCAGGGGAATAAACGTAAGTAAAAGAGGCGGAGAGGGGGTTTTCCTGGGCTTTTGTGCTGGAAGGCAAACCGGAAGAAACCACTTCTGGAATCTGCTAGTGATTGAGGCAGACGTGGATTTTGGACTTCTGCACTCTACATAATTTGCACTCGATAAAACCTGTAAAAGACAGGTCAGAGTCCTGGCTGTTATCTTTGTGAGCAACCACACACATTCCTCACAAGGAGGACCAAAACTTCAACAAAGAATGGGATAAATATATATTGTACTTGAAAGACCACTGTAAACACTTGAACTCTTTGGCAGGCTTTAAATAACTCTTGCAATGATACAAGATTTTGGATACAATGGAGAATGGTAAATTAGATGGACTTGTAATATGCAGTTTTAAAAAGTTATTTAAAGAACCCATGGAGGTGACGAGGGAAGACTTGAGATTCGGAAGAATTTTGTGTAAATTTTAATGTCTGTAATAATATTACTTGTGTGAATGAATTTGTACAATCAAATAAAATTATTTAAAAAAATAAAAAAAGGAACTCCTTTAACCCAAGGGAAACTCAAAGCAGGTTGTGCTGCGCCCGGAACTCCCCCCTGTGTGCAGGGAAGGCCTGGAGAGCGGGACGGCCTGCTCAGTCCCCGCAGCAGCACTGACCCACGCTGGTCACTGTACCTGGAGGCTAGGAAGCAGCTCACAGCACCCTTGCCAAATGCGCTGGTGGTCCTGGGGGCTGTTCTCTTGACTCCAGTTTCCCAGCTGAAATATTCCTCCCAATGTCACTGCGTTGCTCCTACAGCAGAAACAGAAAGGGAAGTGGCAGCGTGTGTGTGTGTGGAATTGGCCCTAACCCAGGTTGGAAGAAATGGTGTCAAGCAAGGGTGGAGGGCCCATGCCCAGGTCACACAAGTGTGCCAGGCTGGCTACTGCCAAGCCACAATGGCAGTCTATTGCATTTGGTGTCAGCAGCCTGCTCCTGCTCCTTTTGCCTGTGGGAGAAGTGACGCTCTGAGTCTCCCAAGCAATGCTTGTGTGCATCACACCACGAACGTCCCAGGGCTCCAGGATGGCCAGAGGCCCCAAGGAGGTGCTTTTGGGGCCTGTGATCATTTAGGCCACATCCACACCATTTAAAGTACATGGTTTCTTCCAAGGAATCCTGGGAACTGTCCTTTGTATGGGGGTTGTAGCTTCGGGGGGGGGGACAACTACAGTTCATGATTCTTTAGGGGAAGCCATGCACTTTAAATGCATGGTGTGGATGTGACCCGTGATTACTGTCCTACCTGTTACCTGTGTGTGTTGTGGGTTGGGATGGGCAACAGATCCTGAAATGGCCACGTGAACAAGAGTTAAGAAATCACATAAAGCACAGGGGGTAGAAATGTTTCAGCCCAAAGGCCAATCACCCTCATAGGGGCCACATTCCAGTAGTGATTGGAGGCTGGGGATGAGGGAGAATTTCAATTCTGTTTGCATTTAAACTTGAATGTATCAAATCTGCACTTTCTGAAACAATATGAGAACCAGAGCACAGTCATCCTTCGAAATTTGCACTTAACTGAATCTTGCAATGCAGTTCCCCAGCAAATGCTTGCAAAAATGCGCTTATTAGGTGACAGCGTGCATAGAAATGAATATATTGTGAAAATAACATGCAAAAATCCACCATATGAGGGGAAAGAGTTTGCAAAAACATGTACATGAGTCAAAACTACAGATAAAAATGTGTTTGTTAGCAGAAATATACATGTAAAATGCTGAATAATTTTCATGAAGGGTTTTTTAAAATTGCAAAATGTGAACTGAACTTATGATTAGCAAAACCAGAAAGAGAGAGAACTGAAATGGACAGCTCCTTCTATCCCTAATGAAAAAAGTGTTAATTAGGAGAAATTTGCACATAAAAAGCTGAAGAATTTTTGTGAGAATTAAAAAAATAAATAAAAAATCAGACATTGCTGCAGAAATGTAGACAACTTAATCCAAGGTTGGAAAAATTAGAAACTGAGAGGACTCAGAAGGACAGATCTGTCCATCCCCACAAAGGCAAAAGTGGGCGAGATGCGACACTTATCTTTGTACATTAGGCTACATTCCAGTTGCACAAAAGTCAGAAATCTCTGCACCCGGCACCTCACACGCCCCTCCCTCCCTCCAGGCAAGCAAGCAGCATTGCCCCAGTGGAAGGACACATCCAAGCAGGTGAAAGCGCTTGAGGTGGGTGGCAGCAGATGGTGTGAAGTGAGGGTGCAGACCAAGAAGGGTCCTAAGCACCAAAGAGGCCTGGAAGGCTCACCCAGACCCTGGGCTTGAGATTCCCCAACCCTGAGCAAGCATTTATTTGGGTCCACAGCACAAATGCCATTGGGCTTCCCCAACGAGGAGTCCTCCAGATGTTTTGCAGTACAACTCATCAGCACACTGGCAGGGCCTGATGGGAGCTGGAGGAGCAAACATCTGGAAGGCATCCAATTGGGGAAGACGACATTCTGTCATAGTCAGTTGTGTTTTCCTTACCCAGGTATGATGTAAGGTGTGTTATAGATCCCAGTCTCAACATCATGGGTGATGATGAAATGCTTCACCCAGGGGGCCTCGACCTAGAGAGCCAAAACAAGCAGAGGCAACAGCAAGGCTGTATTGCTGCATTCACCCCAGCAGGAATCAGGTGACCTGAGGAACAAATCAAGCCCCATCTTGCCGTATAAAACTCCTGACTCTGGTCTGGATCCTCAGCTTGAGCATTGTCACGGATTTGCTGACCCATCAACCCCATCATAGCCCCACCAGGACTGCAGGTAGATATGTGCTTCTTCAGACACAGGCAGCTTCTTCCCTTCTTGCAAGGTAGCCAAAAGAACCCTAGAAAGCCTGGCCTTACCTTGATGACTTGCCCCCGGCCCGGGCATAACTCAGGGTCAGGTTGTAGCTCCCCAGCACGAACCCCTGTGCAGTTGATTATGATGTCCACGCCTTCAGCCATCAACTAAGCAAAAGACAGATTTGTGGTGTTACTGTCTCTGAAGGCAAATGGGGACTGGAATCCAAAAACATATGGAAGGCCAGAGGTTGGCCACCCTGGTTTTCTGTCCTGCTTAGCCAAAAATGGTTTGGAAAGTCCACCATATCTGCCTAAAGCAGGGCAGGAATTATTGGAGCCATACTCCAGAAATATCTAGAGAGAGGGCAGCTGGTTGGGGATTGTGACGTTAACATATGAGAGTGCTGGAGGTGAAATAGTTAAACAGGTTGCCCAATCAGAACCCAGGGGGTAGAGTCAGAGGAACTATAAAACCAGCTCTGGGAGGGGCAAAGGGAGGAGTTCGTTGGGAGTTGGGTGGTTGGTTGGAGTAGGAGTGAATTGGGATAGAGTCTGGGGGTAGGTTGAGTTAGTGTAGTGAAATAAGCTGAGTCAGGAACAGTTAGGCGCTAGGAAGACAAGTAAATATCTGAGAGGTGGTTTAGTGAGTGAGAGCAGGTAGCGGAAGTTATAGGTCTGGATAGGCACCCCATGATTGTAATGGACCGATGCCGTTTATGAAACCACACACTTGTTAAACTGCAATAAATAAACAGAAGTTTATGTTCCAATGTAACCCTGACTCAGTATTGTACCAGGTAGGGCCTGGGTGGTGGCAGCGAGAAATAAAGTGGTGGCACAGGGATCAATAGACGGTGAAACGTCCAGGGACCCTGTGTGATCGCCACAGGGATGTCTGGGCTTACAGTCACACCAAGCATTTAAAGCACTAGGTTGTCACTTTAAATAATCAAGGCTTCCCCCAAGGAATTCTGGGAACTGTAGTGTGTTAAGGATGCTGAGAGTTGTTATGAAACCTCCAGAGCTATACGGTTCCCTGTGAAGAGGGATTGATTGTTATTTCGCTCTGGGAGTCATAGAATCTTAGAATTGTAGAGTTGGAAGGGACCCCAATGTTCATCTAGTCCAACCCCCTGCAATGCAGGGATCTCAGCTAAAGCATCCATGTAGCTCCGGGAGAGGAAGTGGGGCCTCTTCACACGTCTCAGTACCCTTAACAAACCACAGGTCCCATAATTCTTTGGGGGAAGCCGTGTCTGTTTAAAGTGGCATCATAATGTGTGGTGTGTATTGTTGGACTACAGTTCCCATCATCCCTGACTACTGGGCCATGCCGGCTGAGGCTGATGGGAGGAGTTGTAGTCCAACAATAGCTGGGACCCAAGGCTGGTCTAGTGTCTCAAAGTGGTTTCCCAACGCGGTTCCGAAGGACTCCAAGGAACCCTCAGATATAACCCTTGGCACCTCCCAATGCCCCCTACCCTTCCAATGTTTATAATTTAAAGGAGGTGTTGAGTGGGGAGCACAGGTGCTTCACCTGTCGGGGGGGGGGGCGCGTCTGAACATTGCTGGTTTTTCTTTTGTAAAAAGGTTTTTGGTTGTGCTACCAACAGTTTCCAAAATTTCCAAATATGCCCCGAGGGCTAAAAAAAAGTTTGGGACTCCTAGTCTGGATTATCCTATCATCTTTGATCCTGTGTTGTAGACGACACATTGTCCCTTGGCAATATTGAAGAATTTCAACTTTGTCTTTTGTAAACCTTTGTCAAAGATGCCAAAGTTCCAGAATGGCTTTTTACCAGCAACTGACATATTTCTATCCAAGCGTATTTAAGAAAACTCCAGGAGAGGATTGGAATGACCACTGGAGATGCTAGAGGGAACCTACTCCAGACTGGTGGAAAGGTTTTAAGGCTGGTCCCACCTTCCAGGGTTATGGCTAATCTGAGTAAAGGGAAGCAACTGGGCCACATTAATTCAGAGAAGCATAGAACGGCAGAGCTGGGAGGGAACCAAAGGGTCATCTAATTCTAATCCAAACCTGTGCTGTGCAATGCAAGAATCATAACTAATTTGTTTTTATATTGTGTTATTCAAAAAATTACATACAGTTCATGTAAACATATATATGGGTGGGTTATTATTATGATTTTTACAATCTTGCAGGAATTCAGAATTTATTTATTGAAATTTTGTATACCACTGGACTGTGAAAAACCTCAGACCTCAAAGCTTTCTCCTTCCCCCAAATTCCTTGCTCCAGTTCTGCTCAAAATGCAGCCATATTTAAAGCCTAATGATAGACTCCCCCCTCCCCTCCCCCTCTATCTAATCCTGTCCACAGCTAGTGGAGAAAAGAAATGCCTTTATCAATGCCCCTCCCAGAATACATTTAAATTCCCAACTAACCTCCTGGAAGGACTCAATTTTCCGATGAAAGAACTTGACGCTCTGCATCTTTAACCTGTAAGACAAATGTTGCCTTGTAAACAACAGGGCGAGCCACTGTGACTGATGGCTAACATGCTGACACTTCTCCAGTTCTGGTGACATCCCTAGAAAGAGCCCAGTGAGGTCTCCGCATGCTGGCTGCCTGTTGGCACTGGATGCTGGGTGACTATTAGGGCAAGAGGAACCCTGAAAAGCCAGTCGGAGTAGGAGAAATGGAATGGAATGGAGTATCTTGACGGGAACCATGGCTGGCTGGCAGCCTCTTCCGCAGAAAGGGCACTTGCAGAGCACCTGCTATGCCTGTGGAAGGTTCCATGTTCCGTTCCCAAGGGCATCTCCGGGTGGGGCTGGGAGGGAACTGAAGAGCCAGTCAGTGTAGAGATAATACCGAGCTTGGCAGACCAATGGTCAAACTCTGACAAGGCACCTTCTCATGATCAGTATGGATATTGTCAGAACAGAGAGAAGAAAGCAAATATCATACACACCTCTTTGTAAGCCAGGGTAGATATCGTTTGCCCTCCAGCATCAGAGCTGTGTTGAACCAACCATAGCTGAAACCAGGGAAATGAAAGATAAGGACATAGAAATGGGCTACCATCTGAAATACAGGGGTCCCTTCACTTATGCGGGGCTTTTGTTCCCGGGCTACATGCAGACATGTGAAATCGCATAAAATGGAGAGGGTGTTGTTGAGAGAGGCTGGAAAGCAACTCTCTCTTGGTGGACTCCATCCATCCCATCCACCTTCCTCAAGTGGCAATGCACCCTTTCGAGCGCATGTCCTGCTTGCCTCTGGTGACTGGAATGTTGAGCTGGGAGTCAGGGGGTCAGTGGCACTCTCCCTGTTAGTCTTGGGAGGTGCTGGAGGAGGTTTCTGCAAGTCTATGATTCTATAATAGCCGTCACATCCAGGGAGCGTCATTTATGCCACTGGAATTTACGTCTCCCCCTCCTCATTTTAGTCCTGCTCTAGATGGCCCACCAGAGAGGTCGTGTCAGCCTTATCTCACAAAGCAAACACCCAAAACCTAAAGGGAAGAGAGAATTGATCAATACCTGTAGCCAGGGAAGAGCTCAAGCTCTTTCTGTGACAAGGTCCTAAATCCCAAAACAATATTCTTCCATGATGGGTCCTGCAGAGGAGAAAGTATTGTGCCAGTTATAAGGCAACTGAGGGAAGAGTCCACATGTCTAAGAAGCTCTGGTCCAGTCACCTTGTTCTCTGTGAAAATTGATAATTTGTACCAAATGGCGTCATTTAACTGTGATTCATGCACCACTTCTTGAGCAAGTCATTCAAGAAATTAGAATAGATTCCACTAACAAAGATACCGTAGATGCACCTGAGATGCATTTGGCCTCATGTTCCTACACCTATTGGTTGTGGGTTTCCCCCTATGCTTTGCAGTGATGCAAAAATAGCCATATTGAGTGTCATACAAATAGGCCGTTGAAAGCAATCTCCCATTATCATCTGCCTATGCAATACTCCAGAAGTCCTTCTACAAGGAAGACCAAACATCCTTTGAAATAATTGCTCTTATTTAACATCAGTTACTTACCGGAACTGGCTGTGTAAAGAGATTGTATCCAGAGAGCAGAAACAACCCCATCTCCTTAGCTTCTGGTGAATTAATGTGTTGAAGAAGATAATCAAAAGTCTCTTTATTCCAGAGCCTGTCATATTAAATAATACAGTCAGACAATTACACACTCTAGGATTGTACTGTAAATTTTCCTGCAACTTGATGGTCTACCAGAAAACAGAATGGATGAGTCTCTCGATGCAATGCCTCTCCCAAGACAAATATGCCAATACAATACCTTTCCTGTAATGGTGGATTGTTTATTGTGCCAGGAATTAGTCCAACCCACCCCCACTGAGGCTGGCATGCTTCCCCTCTCCTCCCTTCTCCAGTATGTCTGTAAGGAGGAGTTGGGAAGTATTTGCTTTTGATTTCAACTACCCACAGTTTAGCATCCCATTCAGACTCTAAACTGTGGTTAACCTTAGCTACAGTACCATGTGTTTCAACCAAATTCATAAAACAGTTTGATTAGCCACAGTTCTTTGTTTTTGGACAGTGTTGACATAGCCATGGTTAATCCAAAATGGCTTCCTGACTGCTTCTCACAGATGCACTGGGAAAGGAAGGGAAACACATGGATCTGGGAAGAGGCCAGGCTCCTTCCCTTCATTTTCTTCCCTTTTTCTCCTGCCTTTCTTCCATCTGGGATGCCAAAGGGGTGTATGTGTGGGTTCCAGGCCTCCACTTATTCAGGCACTGACCCAACCCAGCTCTGCTTATGTGTCATCCATGGGAAACAATGACCCACTGAAACACTTCCAACTCCCTTCAAAATGGCTGACTGCCTTCAGCTTGAAGCATACTTCTGCTGCCTGCCTGTCTAGGCCTTCACAGAAAGAAGGCCTCACCAACCTCTCCACTGCTCTTATCCTTGGGAAGTTTTTCTGAATATTTAGTTCAGATTTGCCTCTCTGCATTTAGTCCTCACTGAAGAGCCACACAGGCAGAGCAGGGAGACTGAACCAACAAGGCTCAGTGTAAGGATGAGCTACTCAGATGAGAACATATAGAGATGAAATTCCTCAATTATCAGGGAATCCAAAGCTTTTAGTCTTATGTTTGTTTGTTTTTATAAATAAATTGATTTTTATGGAATTTTTCTCAGACAGATAAAAAATATGTAATGGCAGACACAACCTGCTTAACAAAACTTGGCTTAACAAAACTTGTACACCTGTCACTGATGGTGTACAGAAAAAAATGTAAAGCAATCAGAGAGCACTATATTAAGTAAGGTGTAGAAACAGCAGTCTGGAAGGCCAAAGGAAGTAATTTATACATTTTAAAGCTAAAGGCCAAATATGTTTAGATATCATCATCATCATCATCATCATCACCATCACCATCATATTATTTATACCCCGCCTATCTGGCTGGGCTTCCCCAGCCACTCTGCGCGGCTTCAACCGAATATTAAAAACAATACAGCATCAGACATTAAAAACATCCCTAAACAGGGCTGTCTTCAGTTATCTTTTAAAAGTAAAATAGTTGCTTATTGCCTTGACATCTGCTGGGAGGACGTTCCACAGGGCAGGCGCCACTACCGAGAAGGCCCTCTGCCTGGTTCCCTGTAAGCTCACTTCTCGCAGGTTGTCACAGAACAAATTCAACTAACCAAAACCAACCAACTGAGAATGATGTTTTGTCAAATGCCCCTCTAAGTTGTCTGTTATGTCCCGTGACATTTTCTACCACTGCCAAGTGCCAACCCTGACTCCACCGTCCTGTAGAGTGAAAGGGGTCTTACGTTTCTTGAGTGTTTCCCTTGTCGTAGAGATATGGCTGCCAAAGACCCGCTGCCCCGTCGCTGGTGGTGTGAGGCGTAAACTGGTCGGCATAGATCTCTATTTCCAGGGGCTGATCTGCTGAGGGGTATCGGTCACGGACGCAGAGGGCTGTGGACAGTCCAATAATGCCGGCTCCAATCACAGCAACACGCATGGTGAGGGGCTTAAATTCTCTCCTGGGGGAAGAAAATGGCTACAGCTTTGTGCACCTGGCATTAAATCCCAACAAACATAGCAGAAGTCATTCCTGGGTGGCCATACCTAGGCTTGGTAACTCTATTTGCATCCCCTCCAACATTCCTCAGATTAAAATAAGGACTTTTCTCACTTCCTTGCCCCTCCTTGACCTCCCCATTTTTTTGTCCCCCACTATAGAGCATTTCCTATCAGAAGAAGGGCAAGTGCTGCCACTGCTACACCAACAAGACAAAGCACACACACCATCCCCCATCCCAGGAAAACTCCTTGATCCCTATTTTATTTATTTTTTGGTAGATTTACCAAAAAGCGCAACAACCTTTGGGGTGTCCTGGTTCTTCCTTTTTGAAATATGGCACCCCTAGGATTGGAAGGCACAAAAGCATGCAGGCTGGTGAGTTTCTAGGTCAGTGTGCCACACTCCGGCCGGGAGAGCCTGGCACACCCTCCAGATGCCGCTCCCTCTGCTTAGGGGTAACAATAGATCCCTCTGTGCACAGGAATGCCGGCATGAAAGGGCTGCTTCCCAGTTCTCAAAACTCTGCACCCACTGGCCAGAGAACTTGGCTTCCCTTGTGGCAGAGTCTTGAATGGTTATTCTGTCAGCACAGCCGCTTCTTTCAGAGAAAGACAGCAGAAAGAAACCCTGAAAGTGGCAGAAAAGCTTATTGCCAGAATAACAAAATCTGAGGGGTTTTTTTTGGGGGGGGGGACTGTGCTAGCTTTAAAAAAAGAATCTGCTTTCTTCCATAAGAACAGGAGAAGAGGCTGCTGGATCAGGCCAATGGCCCATCTGGTCCAGCCTCCTGTTCTCACAGGGGCCAAGCAGATGCCCCCAGGGGAAGCCAGCAGGCAGGAGCCAAGCCCAGGACCACTCTCCCCTCCTGCACTTGCCAGCAACTGGGATCAGGAAGATTGCTGCAGAGCATAGCAGCCTTATCCTCCACCAACCATCAAACGTGAATATTCTTGGTAATGCTGGAGTTTGATACAAACAGAAAATGTGTTGCTCTCTTTTGAAAGATAGACTGGACGGTAGTTTATAACGGACTGCTGCAAACAAACAAACCAGCCAGGGACTGTCCCAGGGACTGGTCAAATGAAGCCTTTTCCCCTATGAGGAAAGGTGCAGCTTTGGGGACTGTGAGTAAGGATGAGTAAGAGGAAACATGATCAATAGTGTTTAAAATCATGCGGAGCATAAAGACAGTAGATGGAGACCCCCCCCCATAACACTAGAACATGTGGACATCCAGTGAAGCTGAATTCAGGAGATGTCTAACAAGGATTTCTTCATGCAGCACAGAGCTAAACTGTGGAGCACCTTCCCACAGGGATGGCCACCAACTGAGATGGCTTTAAAAGAGGACTGAGAATTTGTGGAGGAGGAGAGGGCTGCCTGTGGCTACTAACCACATGCCTCTGCTCCCTCACCTGAAGGATCTTGCTGGTGGGCTTCCAGTAGGCAACTGCTTCAGCACTGTGGGAACAGGATGCTGGGCTCAATGGGTCACTGGCCTGATCCAGCAGGCTCTTATGATTTATACAGGGCACCAGGCTGGGGAGGAAGGCACACATGTAAATTAATGCACATGAACTGTTAGGCATCCGCCCAGAACACAGGCTGCCCAGCCCCCACCCCCGCAGCCGCCAAGGTGTATTTTGAACTGCTGACAACACACTGAGAAACAAGTATGGATTTTCTAGTAGATCTTTAACTCAAAGCGCACACACAGTGGAATGTGCACCCATGGGAAGCTGCTGCCAGTCAGTGCAGACAATACTGAGTTAGGTGAACTAATGGTCTGACTTGGGATAAGGCAGCTTCCTGCATTCACCTTTGTGGGTTTGTTTGTTTTTTAAAGTTAACAGAGAACCTCTTTAGTGCAGAGTACATGAGCACAGCATGCAACAAATGACAGGCCTTCTTTAATGTGTGATGTAGGGGATGGGTGCCCAGGCAGTTTGGAATGAAGCAATATGAGGAGACAGCCCAGGGAGGCAGGATCCACAGGGGCAGCAGTTCCTGCCTCCAGGGTATGCACTGCCTGCCGCTGCTGCTGCCACCACAGTTGCATGCTCCTTGGAGGTCAGATCCACCGCCTGCTTTACAACTCCCAGGGTGAATAGGAGGTGCTGCTGGCCTCCCACCCCTAGGGAGGAAATGGTGGAGGGCTGCCCTCTGGCATCTCCTGGGCTCTGCATCTGCCCTGCATGATTCATAGCTCCCCCCTCCCCCAGACCTTGATTCCCAGTTCAACCATTGGGTGAGGTTGATTTGAATGCCCCCCCCCCGTTTCCAGTGCAGATCTTCATGTACCCTTTTCCCTGGCAGCGGGGAGGTGCCATTTTGTGGTTCGACTCAGGTGCCAAAATGTCTTGGACTGACCTTGGGTGAAACTATGGGTATTTCAAGTGTTTCCTCATTTTAATCACTGAAATGCTGAGGTTGTGCTGGCATTATCAACCAGATTTCCCTGTCTTCCAAGGGTTTAGGGGAAACTAACTTGCCATACACCATCATGTCTTGCTTGACAACTGCAAAGACTCAGAAGCAGGGACTTCTAAATTATTCACAATGGAAGCTGCAATTCTGAAAACTTAACATGTCAAAAGCCACATTTCACCAATTTGCAAAACAGCAGCAGCCCAGGAGATAACTGAATACGGAAAGCCCAGCCTGTTTTCAGTTCCTTTCAAGCCTGTTCTTTGCCAATTCCTACTGCTTTCAAGCCAATCCCCTCGAAGGGCAGAATTCAGAAACAATGAAAGAAAGCAATGTTTTCTGCAAGCACACACAACCACCAGGCAGGCACATTTGTTTTTAGCAAGTCAGAAAGAAAATAAATGTTACCCTCTTGCTGACAAAACACACTTTCCAGAAATGCTTTTTCACCCAACCATGGCCCCAAGTTGTAGGCAGGCAGGCAGTCTCCAGACTGGATCCTGAGAACGACTTGCAAGGTGACTAGTCACAAACCTTATGTATTTCAGGAGCTTGGAAAGAGGGTTCAAAGTTCCCTGTAGAATGAACATGGGGGAGAATGAGGTGGAGTTTAACCTTCTGTGCTGCCAAAGCTGAAGAGTTGGCATTTTCTCGAGAGAACTCCCTGTTTCAAACTGGAACTCTGTGTCAGGCCTTGACAAGGTTCCATGACCTGAATTCAGGAAGGGGGAAGAGGAAAGAGCTGGCTGTCGGCTGAAGGGGAAGCAGGTGCCATGGTCTAAAGTGACAGGAGCAAGTTCCAAAGCAGTAGTAACAGACATGATAGCAGCTCGAGAATAGATTCTGCATGGATTTCCAAAGAATTGGAAACAAGAGTCAAAAAATTGAAATCAATCCCAGAACCTTTTCAGACCATAATTCCCTGACTATGGAACTACAAAAAGAAAGCCAAATCTCTTTTAGATGGAGATTAAATGATGATTTATTAGATGATCAAAAAATTGCTGAAAAAGCAAAAAAGATCTTGACAGATTATTTTGAAATAAACAGTCAAGGAGAAACAAAGTTACAGACGGTCTGGGACGCAAGCAAGGCTGTAATGAGAGGACTCTTTATACAACAAAACTCATTTAAATGGAAATTGAGAGAGAAAAAGAAAAAAGAAATATTAGAGGAAATTATGAAAAAGGAGAAACAGCTGCCAAACAAGGCAAATAAAGAGGCAGTGAAACAGGTGATCAAAACATTACAAACACAATATTCAATGATTATAAATGAGGAAATTAGCTGGAAAATAAAAAGAGAAAAACAAAAATACTTTGAGCACGCAAATAAACCGGGGAAGCTGTTAGCCTGGCAGTTGAAAAAAAGTGAACAAAGGAACTCCATAAATAAAATTAACATAAATGGCAGAATTACAGACAAGCTGAAGGAAATAAGAGAAGGATTTGTTAAATATTTTTCTGAGCTGTATAGACAAGGGAAAGAAAAAACATTTAAGATAGAAGAGTACATCAGAAGTAGCAATATGCCATATTTAAAAGAAGAACAAAGGAACATTCTTAACTCCCAGATAACAATGAAAGAATGACTTGAGGCAATAAAAAGCTCTAAAAATGGCAAGTCTCCAGGTCCGGATGGCTTTACAGCAAAATATTACAAGAAATTAAATGAACAATTAGCGAACCCATTGAAAGATGTTATGAATGAAATATTGAACACAGGAGAAATCCCAGAAACATGGAAACAGGCCTATATAAACAGTAATTGCAAAACAAGTTGCAGATTTCCTGCAGATTAAAAACTATAGGCCTATCTCCTTGTTAAATAATGATTACAAATTGTTTGCAAATATCCTAGCTAATAGATTTAAAAAAATACTAAATGAATATATACATCAAGATCAAGCCGGGTTTTTAGCAGGAAGACAAATGAAGGAGAATATAAGGAATATTTTGAATATAATAGAATATTTGGAGGTTAACAATGAAAAGAAAGCGGCAATGATGTTTATAGATGCTGAAAAAGCCTTTGATAATGTTTCTTGGAAGTTCATGATAAAGCTGTTAGAACAAATCAGAAGTGGTTCTAAGTTTTTAAAAGGAATAGCAGTAATCTATTCAGAACCAAAAACCAAACTAATTATAAATCAAGTGATAATGGATGATTGTAAGATCCAAAAAGGAATGAGACTAGGATGCCCATTATCACCATTATTGTTTATCCTGGTCTTGGAAGTACTTGCCAAAAACATAAGAGCAGATAAAGAGACCACAGGTGTAAAAACTGGGAAAAGTGAATTCAAGTTAAAAGCGTATGCAGATGACCTAGTGATAACAGTGGAAGAACCTAAAACTTCACTCCCTAAAGTAATAGAAAAAATTCAGAAATTTGGGGAAGTGGCAGGATTTAAGCTAAATAGGAATAAAACTAAATCAGTGGGGTCCTGTGAGGCTGGGGGTGGGGGGAATTTACCACTCCTGATTTAGAGGTATAGCTTATTCAATTCCACTGTGTAGATGACAAATAAATATGGTCAGAGCAATACAGGGTGAAAATCTCATCAGCTTATTATAACTTTTCTTGTATCCAAGAATGAACCAAACAACTATGTATTTTTAAAAGTCTGTTCCCAGCATTCTGTCACTGTTCTTTGAGCAGGAAACAGAACGAGGAGACCAAATGAGGTCTGTGTGCATGGACAGGGAGGGTGCATAAAGAGTTGTATGTGTTTTAATGTATGTGTTATTTATTTATTGTTGTAAGTTGCTTTGAGTTATACTGGTAAAAAAGTGGCTAACAAGTTTAATAAATGCTAGGCATTTGGGCTTGTTTGTGGGGAAACTCCTCAACCCAACTAGCTGCAATCGCTACAGCCCTTAGAGGTGAATCCCGCAGGTGAGTCTCTGCCATCAGTTATCTCCTTTGGGATGAGGGAGGAAAGTCGGTCACCTGAGGACCTCAGTGGCTAAGGACTTTATGGAGACTCAGCAAAGCCGATTACATTAATTACTCTATTACTTGCCTGTCTCTTGCTTTTAGCATTGCAGGCCCCTCACACTTTCACAGCCCAGCAGCTCCTTTGTATCTGCCTTTGGTGTGGTGTGCATGCAGCTGTAGATGCCCAGCCCTCTTGGCACGGACGGTGTTGCTGTGGCATTCTGTACAATGTGCACCATCTGTGCAACTACAAACTCATTGTAGGCAGGTTCTTGAGACCAATTACTGTACTGCATTTTAACCTTCTCTGGGTAATCAAGCTGGTTAAAGGGTGCTAACAGTAGTATTCTACTGAGCTTTCAATGCATTTTTTATGTAGAATGTGAACAAATTATATTGACACATCAAGTTAATGTTACCTGGAAAAGAGGAGACTAAGAGGAGATATGATGATGATGATGATGATGATAATTTATTATTTATACCCCGCCCATCTGGCTGAGTTTCCCCAGCCACTCTGGGTGGCTCCCAATCAAGTGTTAAAAACAGTACAGCTTTACATATTAAAAGGGCTGCCTTAAGATGTCTTCTGAATGTCAGGTAGTTGTTTATCTCTTTGACATCTGAAGGGAGGGTGTTCCACAGGGCGGGCGCCACTACCAAGAAGGCCCTCTGTCTGGTTCCCTGTAGCCTCACTTCTTGCAATGAGGGAACCGCCAGAAGGCCGTTGGTGCTGGATCTCAGTGTCCGGGCTGAATGATGGCCATCTTCAAATATCCTGCCACATGGAAGAGGGAACAAGCTTGTTTTTTCCTGCTTTGGAGGGTATGACTCAAACCGATGGATTCAATTTACAAGAAAGGAGATTTTGACTAAACATCAGGAAGAACTTTCTGACAGTAAGAGCTGTTCAACAGTGGAATGGTCTCCTTTGGGAGGCTGTGGACTCTCCTGCCTTGAAGGTCTTTAAGCAGAGGTTGGAGGGCCACCTGTCAGGGATGCTATAGCTGAGATTCCTGCATTGCAGGGCTTGGACCATTGGGGTCCCTTCCAACTCCACAATCCTATGATTGTAATCTGGTGCATTCTTCCTAGCCTTAAAGGATATTTTTTTAAAAAGAAACAAGTGGTTGAGGTGGGGATTTTTATTGTTGGAGTAACTTTTGGTGGGTTTATTATTATTATTATTATATATTAGTTCCTGTGATGTATGCTTTCCTAATTTTTCTTACTTCAATAAAAATTCAATAAAATAACTTTAAAATCTTTTCACCTATTCCCATAAAAATTAGAAATAAAATTCCTTTCATGTTCCCATGAAATAAAAATACTTTCAGCTATCCCAGTGAAGCAAAAAATAAAAATGAAATCCTTTCATATATCCCCATAAAGTAAAATATATGTCTATAGCTGTTCAACTGTTCTTATTTTTATCTGTAAACTGTCAGGGGGAAAGGTGGGGTATAAACAAACAAACCCCTTTCCTATTAAAAAAGGACAAAAATAAAACAAAAATCCTCTCGCATATTCTCGGGGGCGGGGCGGAATCCTCTCACAACTTCCCATATACGTCATAAAAATAAAAATCTTTTCACGACTTCGCACTGAAAGAGAAATAAAACGTATTCCCAAGCAAATATCAAATAAAAGCCCTGCGGCATCTCTTCCCCCTCCCGAGTGCCAGTCCTTCTCTCCGCCTCGCGGATCCCGGGCGCCGCCTGCGCTGCTCCGCCCGCCGGAGGAGGAGGAGGAGGAGGCGGAGGAGGAGGAGGCGGAGGCCTCGCCTGGGAAGCCGCCGCGGGAGGAGGAGGAGGACCAAGGAGAAGGAGAAGAAGAAGAAGGAGAAGAGGAGGAGGAGGAGGCTCCGCCGCCGCCGCCGCCGCCGCCATGGCGCTGGTGACCCTGCAGCGCTCGCCCACCCCCAGCGCCGCCTCCTCCTCGGCCAGCACCAGCGAGGTGAGGGGCTCCTCCTTCGGCCGGCGACGCCAGCCCCGCGGGCCTCGGCCTCTCCGCAGCGCCCGCCCCGCCGGCAGCCCGGCCCCGGCCGCCTTGGCAGGAGCCGCCAGGCCCCGCGCAGCCCCTCCGCGCAGCGTGGCCTGCCTGCCTGCCTGCCTCCCGGCCCGGCCGCCCTCCTCTCTGCCCCGGCCCGCCTGGCTCTGGCCCCCAGAGACCCTGCAAGGGGCGCCCGAGCCGCTCGCTGGGAAACCATTCGGGGCCGAAGCCCTCGCGGCCGGCAGCCGCCCCTTCCCGCGGCCACGAGGCGCCTTGGCGGGGCTGGGGCGACCTGCTCGGAATGCATTGCAGCCCTTAGAGAAGTCGATCATGTGCGCGAGGGGATGAAGTGGTAGGATGGATCGGGGCGCTTCATGACGAAGCCGGGTGATGTCATATTTACCGTGACGTTGTGAAATGTTTTTGTTTTTATTTCTAAACACCCTTAAAACTTGCCTGGAAGTAGAAAACAAAGCCAGAAATGGGGAGAGAACTTTCTAGCCTAGTAGAGAGCTCATTTTCTACTTGTGAGGCTCAGCCCATGCAAGTCGCTGTAGTTAACTGGCCAGCCAAGGGATGCCTTGAACAGCTCAGAACCGAAATTTGGCCCCTGGGAGGCGATGTGGAGTGAGTGGGATAGACAAGAGAAGAGCCTAATCTCACCTGGTTCTCTAGAGCAAGTCCACCATCCTGAGACCCAAAATGCACCCACCATATTCTACACACTTGGGCTTATTCACCTGATCTGCCACCTGCCACTATATTGTGTGGGTTGTGGGATATTCTCAGATCCAAGCTTTCACGTTAAAAAACTCATTTGCCACATCCAGGATCTGGTTGATCTCTCCCCCCCCCCCCCCGTCTCCAGGTGGCTCCTGAATACAGTAGTTGAAATGTTCTTCATGCCCAAAAAAGTTTGTATGGTTGCATTCCATGGTTAGCTTTGGTGCTAGTCTACCTTCAACAAGGAAAGACTTGCCTGCTTGTTGAGCTTGATCTGTGGTTTTCATCAGTGCAATCCGTGCATGTTTCCTCAGAAGTAACTCCCACTGTGTTCAATGGGCCTTACTTTCAGGTTGAGTGTGCATAGGAGTCCATGCTTCGTGTGAGCATTTAAAATGTTTCCACCAGTGTACAGAGCTTCAGTTTTAAATGCCCTACATTGGCAGTTTTGCTGAGAGAAAAACACAAACTCATTGTGATCCCATTTACACAGTAGTATATTGGGAATAATCCTGACTGAAGTTATTGGGATTAAATTTCTGTGCTTGTGAGTGGTGTGTTGGGTTTGTTGCATCTCATTCATGTTTCTTCTCTGCTATCTTTAGGTTGCCTATTGTGTAAGATGGTGGCAGGGGTGCGGGAGCAAAGTATCCTAGTGATTGGATTTTATTTAGAGCAGCCTAGTGATTGGATTCCAAAAGACAACGTGTATTTTTTTAGACAGCTTGCTTTGATCAGAGGAGGATAAAAACGTAACTGGAATGAAATGATATATACCGGTAGCTGCTTTCTAAAGCTCTTAATTGGTTCATCTGTAAAATTTTAAAGTGCATATAACCAAACCTCCATATAGGTGCCTTTTGAAATATTAAATGAATATTTCCTTAATAATACATTCATATTGGTTGCATGTGGTTCTGACCAGCCCCAGTCCTGTTAACGTCAGCAACTAGCAGCCTCCTGTGCCTTAAGACCATTCCTTGGAAGCAGCTAGGGTTAGGAAACCTATGAAATCAAAACACAGACTGCCACTTAGGAAAGGCCATCTATATTTGTTTCCTTTTCAGTACCTATTCCAGTAAGACACCATCATCATAGTAGTAGTAGTATGTATGTATGTATGTATGTATGTATGTATTTATTTATTTATTTTATACCCCGCCCATCTGGCTGGATTTCCCCAGTCACTATGGGCGGCTCCCAACTGAATATTAAAAAACACAACAAAACATCAAACATTAAAAACTTCCCTAAACAGGGCTGCCTTCAGATGTCTTATAAAAGTTAGATAGTTGTTTATTTCCTTGACATCTGATGGGAGGGTGTTCCACAGGCGGGTGCCACCACCGAGAAGGCCCTTTGCCTGGTTCCCTGTAACCTCACTTCTTGCAGTGAGGGAACTGCCAGAAGGCCCTTGGAGCTGGACCTCAATGTCCGGGCAGAACGATGGGGGGTGGGTATGCTCCTTCAGGTATACTGGGCCGAGGCTGTTTAGGGCTTTAAAGGTCAGCACCAACACTTTGAATTGTGCTCGGAAACATATTGGGAGCCAATGTATATCTTTCAGGACCAGTGTTATATGGTCTTGGCGGCCACTCCCAGTCACCAGTCTAGCTGCCGCATTCTGGATTAGTTGTTGTTTCCGGGTCACCTTCAAAGGTAGTCCCACATAGAGTGTATTGCAGTAGTCAAAGTGAGAGATTACTAGAGCAAGCACCACTCTGGTGAGACAGTCTGTGGGCAGGTAGGGTCTCAGCCTCCGTACCAGGTGGAGCTGGTAGACAGCTGCCCTGGACACAGAATTGACCTGCGCCTCCATGGTCAGCTGTGAGTCCAGAATGACTCCCAGGCTGTGCACCTGGTCCTTTAGGGGCACAGTTACCCCATTCAGGACCAGGGAGTCCTCCACACCTGTCTGCCCCCTGTCCCCCAAAAACAGCACAGTGGTACCTCGGGTTAAGAACTTAATTCATTCTGGAGGTCCCTTAACCTGAAACTGTTCTTAACCGGAGGTACCACTTTAGCTAATGGGGCCTCCCGCTGCTGCCGCGCAATTTCTGTTCTCATCCTGAAGCAAAGTTCTTAACCCAAGACGCTATTTCTGGCTTAGCCGAGTCTGTAACCTGAAGGGTCTGTAATCTGAAGCGTATGTAACCCAAGGTACCGCTGTACTTCTGTCTTGTCAAGATTCAACCTCAGTCTGTTAGCCTCTCTCTCTTTTTCCTGTTATCTTCATTAGGTTAATCTGGTGATTAAAGCTTTTTTGGGGGAAACCAACACATTTTTATTGGGAGTTTTTTACAAATACAATAACCATTAACTTTAAACCATTAGCTTTCAGCCCTAAAAGAGAGGCAAAGATCTAGTCCTTGTCCCCTGAAACCTGTAACATATTATTTCCCTTTTCATATTATTAAATGAAGCAACAAAGCCAGTGTGATGTTGTGCTGAGGTTGTGAACTCGGCACTTCAGTCTGAAGTTTGCTTGGGTGACCTGCCTTCTCTGTCTCCCTAACCTACCTCTCAGGGTTGTTGGGGGGAAATGGGGAAGGGGTGGCATATATGCCCCTCTTAAGCTCCTTGGAGAAAGCATGTGATGATAAGGCAATAAATGTATGCATGCTATTATTTTATTGAAGCTATTTTTAAAACTTGCACGAAAACCTTTTGAATCATATTATTTTGAGCCTTTAATGCTTAATGCTTCTTGCTCTTTCCCCTTCAGTTGGAGGTTGGCAGTGATGACGACCGCAAACTGAACCTGAGG